CCTTCCCTGCAACCAGTCTTAGGGCAACTACCTTGACAAGATAACCTGCCCTACAACCGGTCTTAGGGCCTCGCCACAGCACTCTCGAAAGGCAAAAACATTCGACGGCTGTCAGAATAAATTCGACAGCCTCCCTTCGACAGTTTGCCCCCCTTGAGCCACACAGAACTGTAGAGTGGACGCACTGGTGAACGCAAGATGGAAAAGGACGAACGTGCATGAGGGTACGACAAGCATTAGCCCATCCCGACCTCATGCCCACTCACCAAATTTCGAAGAGAAGTCTATGGCGCAGCCCAGAACTGTCGAAAGCATCAGAATAGCAGGCTGGGGATTCAACAACTTTCGACAGGAAGTGTAGAGAACCATTCTCTGACAACTTGCGAATTTTCTTCCTGTCTCCAAATTTATTATTATTATTATTTTATTTTTTTTTCTTTTCTTTCGACAGGCTGTGTGGCGAAGAGAAATTATCGAATATAATGTTTTGGACAGTGGTGTGGCGAGCCCCTTGGGGAAGAATATAGTGTTTTGGACAGTGGTGTGGCGAGCCCCTTGGGGAAGACTGCAACGGGACCCTATTTTCTGTTTTCTGCTATCGGAGACCCCAAACGAACCTGTCCTACAGAAGCTGTACTGCACGACCTTACCCAAAATCGAAAGAACATGTACTGCACCACCCAAAATCGAAAGAACATGTACTGCACCACCTTACCGGTAAGCATTGGTTTCCAGTCCTTCCTTATTATAGAGCCTGTGATTTGCAGAGAGTAAAAATTAGTGTCTGCTCTACTTTACGGTGCTTCAAGATTAAGTTTTTTGGAAAGCAATGTGATTTTATGGACGCTGGACCCGGTTTCTTTTTTTCTTTTTTCTTTTTTTTTAACATGATACTTATATTTCTCAAATGCAATTGAGGCCGGGGAGGACCCGGGACCAAGTCCCACTTGCAGCGGTTTAGTTCCCGTAGCCAGTACTGCACGACACTGTGTGACTTCGTGTGGCAATGTGCGGCTGGTTGACAAAC